GAGACAAAGGCCCCATTTGGAATCGATTATAATCAGATTCACGATCGCTCCACGTGGGAATAAAAAAAATACTGCTAAATGTCTCACGGTATCGATGATTCTTTTCACCACGCAAGACTTACCCACCACGGGATTGAACTAGGAGTCCGATTTCTTGTACCGCAGCTCCTTGACCAGGGCTTTACTATCGCACTGCGTGGTCATGGAACATGTATCCAAACAGGGCCAAAGTTTGACGTGAAAGCCTAGTTTTTTTTTAGCTAGACCTTAAAATGCTCTAGTCTAGTTAGTAAGATGGAATGTCCCTATAAATCAATCTCCACAGGTTATTGAGTAGCTGCCCTACAAATTTCTGATTTCTAGATACCCTTATAGAGACGACAACATAATTCTCCATCGCAGAATGGTTCCTCATCTCTATGGCGAGAAATAATCTGTGCCTCTCTCCCCGCCAAAGCTCATGTGGGAATTTGGGCCCGTGCCCGTTTTCACACAGGGAATAATCCTCGAAGGATCCCTATACTCGCATCGGCACATCAAAGAGTACAAATGACAATGGAAATTTGAGTTAAATAAAAGTAAGCAATAATTTAGCACAAGTTAGAACTAATGAATTGCAATGCACACATACAATCTAGCATTACTACTCTAACACAAATATATACAAAACACACCATGTAACGAAGACATCACAAGTACTAGTGATGTCAAGCTGTCTGAATGGAAAATGGGGCGAGGAAGTGGGGATTGGCGATGGGGGATGAAGAACCATCCCCGTCCCCACCAGCCCCATCGGAGATGAGTTTCCCCGTTTATACCCTTGTAGGGCAAAAATTGACACATTCCTCGTCCCCTGACGTTTGGTATTTAGGACGGGGAGGGATGGGATGACCCCACTTTTGCTAGTCTTTAGTTTGAGGACAAGGATAGAACCATCCCCTCTAGGGAATATTCGCAGGTGATTTGGGGTAATTCATCCCTTAAAAATATCAGACAAGTTCATCCCTTCTTTATGCGTGTGCACTTCTGTTTTTGTCGGGTTCATAAACCCGGGGTCCCCAATGGACCCGCTTCCCTATAAAAACTCGGCCCAGCAGACGGCGTAGCGACAATGCGCGCCTCCCGGGCCGACCCAGATACATAATGACAGGCCGGGACAACGATCCGGTCCCCGACCGAAAGGCCTGGCCAAGGTAGGGACGCGGTCTGACTCCGACCTCCTTTTTCGACCGGGGGAACGTCGGACCTCTGCTCCCGGCTGGGAACGACTGACCGGGGCCGACTGGGAACGACCGACCGGGGACGTCGGCTCGGTGAAGGCCCAGGGATCAGGCGGAGTAGATAAGGTAAGGCGCTCAAAGTCAACCGCAATACCAAGGATCGTACTCTGCCATGCCCTGCGCACCTACAGGACGGTGCCACCAGGCCATGCCAGACGGGCACTATGCAACCTTCCAAGCGTGTTAGAGCACAAAACAGTATTGTAGGCGCCGACGTTTGCCGTACCAGGAAAACACGGTAGAGCCTGCCACATGCGTATGACATAAACAGTATTGTGGGCGCCGACGACCGTCTCGTACCCGACAACATGGGCAACAAGACTAGGTAGCACACGTATACACTTTCACTCTCTCTCTCTCTGACTTGTAAGGCCATCCCTTTCAACTATAAAAGGGGATGTGCTCTCTCCTCTCTAGAGGACGTTCTCTCTGGCTCTAGACAAAATGAGCACTCGAATGGCTCAACAACTCTAGAACTCAATAGCTACGCAGAGCACATGTTCCAATACTTAGCGCACGTTAGAGCACCCATCACTCTCAGCCGCTTCGGTTCAGAGTCTGACCGGGCCTTTAACACCCCCTTCTCATTTCTACTAGTTTATAACCCCACAGCAAACTTAGAGCACCTGGGCTCAGGAATAAAGTCACCGACCAACTGAAACTGGACATAGGTCATGTTGCCTGAACCAGTATAAATCCTGTGTCATTGAGTGCTATGCCACATCTGATCACAACGCACGGTAAAACTATAAATATTTACTTGTTGGTCACTTTTCGCACCGACAGTTTTCTACGTTCGTGCCTGCTCTTAGGGCTTCTCTGTGTTGGGGAGAGTTAGGGTAGTGGTGGCCATGGCGGACCAAGCTGAGGGGAGGGGCCAACTACACAAGCCATGGCCTACATGGTTCAATGGTGAGGCAGCTTGAATCAATGCAAGGAGGTTCGAATCGATGACGACCTTGGTGGGTGCACCCATCCTCCTCTTCCTTCATCAAGTGAGGAGCACAAGCAACTCTGAAGATGGCGCCTATGGCCCTAGCGCACCACTGCCGCCTGCCCTTGTCATGGCCTGTGACCCATGGGCTCGTTGTTGCCTGTCCTCATCGTGGCTCATGGCCCCTGCACCTCGATTGTGGACTATGGCCTCTATGCCTTATGGTGGCCCTACCCGCCGCCCTGCTACTACTCCGTGAGAAAGAAAGGAATAAAAAACGAGGATGAGGCTGATAGCGTAGGTCCTACGTTAACATTGTTGGACGAAAGAAAAAAAACTCCCCCCTCCCCCCCTCCTCTCTCATCCCACCTATGGTCCTACCAAATGCAAAATAGAGACTCTCTACCCCTTCGGACCTAGGGTCATCCCATCACAGAAACTAGGATGAATCCATCACGTCTCTTTTTTTCCCCGAACCAAACTGAAAGCATCTAGGCCCCTAGTTGGGTTTCAGTGATTAATGACAATACGAGATTACTGTGACTAACGTGTGTTTTACAGATGCAATTAAGTTAGGTCATGGTAATGGCAATTGATTGGGCAATCATGGTTGTCATGCCCCTACGATGGAAATCATTTTGGTTTTCAAAGGATGGACGACAAGGTTAATGATGGACTATTCTAAGTGTCGTTTGGTGTTGAAGAGACACTTAGAGTAGTTTAGGACTTTGTTCTTCCTTTGGCCGTACTATTAAGGGGGGTATGGACGGGTAGCTTGACCTAGGTGAGTCTAGTGGGTTATGTGTGGTGCACACTTGTCAAATCTAGCACTAGGTAGCTTCAAAGTAGCCCTTAGATCAATTGGAGAAAACTTTATTCACATATGATTGCGAGTTTGAAGTGAATCGAGGATCAAATGTTGACCAGACGCTGGTTCCGGTGTGACCGGACGCTGGCGCAGAGTCCGGTCAGTTCATTTGATAAAGGCGAAGTCGTCTGGATGCGACAGGATGCTGAGTGAAATGTGACCGGACGCTGGGTGCCAGAGTCCGGTCAACTCCAGTAAGGTTCTAGAGAGGGAGAATCCTGATCGGACACGTCCGGTCAGTGCTGACCGGACGCTGGTCAGGTTCCGGCTACTGACCGGACGCTGAGCAGCAAAGTGACCGGATGCTGGGTGCCAGAGTCCAGTCAACATCAGTAAGGTTCCAGAGAGCAGTTTTGTGACCGGACGCTGGTCAGTGTCCGATCACAACTTAACTGCTCGGTGGCGGGGAGAACTGACCGGAGCGTCCGGTCACCCCGCAGTGGCACATAACGGTTCGTTTTGAATGAGTGGTTATAAATACTTCCTCTATTCACTCAAGGGATTACTTTTGCTCATTTCAACAGCTCAGAAACACCCTTGAGAGTGCCAAGTAGAGTAAGGTCCTAGTGAAGTGATTGAGATTTGAGAATCCAAGATTAATGCCTCATTAGTGAAAGCAAGGGTAGCAAAGTGTGCATCCACCCTTCTCATTAAGCTTGTCGTGGTCAAGTGAGAGTTTGTGCTTGTTACTCTTGGTGATCGCCATCACCTAGACGGCTTAGTGGTGTTTGGGAGTTTGATGATCATCCGGCGGAGCTTGTGGATGACCCAACTCAAGTTGTGAGCGGTTGTGGGTGATTCACCGCGACGGAGTGTCGAAGAATCAACCCGTAAAGAGCATTTGATCCTTGCGCGGATCAAGGGGGAACTACACCCTTGCACGGGTGCTCCAACGAGGACTAGTGGGGAGTGACGACTCTCCGATACCTCGGCAAAACATCGCCACGTTCCTTCTCCTCTCTTTACTTTGAGCATTTACATTTGAGCAATTCAATTCTTGTCTTTACATTCTTAGAATTGCCATGCTAGAGTAGGATCGGAACTTAGGGTGCTAAACTTTTGTGCGGTAGATCAATAGCTTCACATTCTAGGCACAAAGGGTGAAGTGGGCTAAATGTAGGGTTTAATTATTGCAAAGAATTTTAGAACTAGCCCAATTCACCTCTTCTCTTGGACATCTTGATCCCTTCACAAACTTATTGATCAGGACCCATTGTTATCTCTAAACCCTTGCATATGGATGGATGTGAATGTCGTCCCTAAAATCGTTTTGATCGCAGATAAAAATCGTTTCCGTGGTAGCATTGTCTTTCCATGCACATGCATCTAAACAGTGTTATTGTTAATGATATTTTACAAACTAAAAGGATTATTTACACGACCTTGGGACATTTTGCACTTCTCATGGACCTAAATTGCAAAGATTATAATCCAACGATGCTTGTGTGTTGTTCTTTCTCGAGCCATATGCCTATATCCTTTCTTCTTGTTCCTAGATGTCTCCGGAGCTCTTCACGCCAACAAACTCCGTCAATGCACTTGTCTCCTAACCCCTCGCTCCGTCCTCCATAAATCTAATTACATAGTCCAACAGCTTAGCAATTGCAATAAAAAAAACAGCTTAGCAACCTCCCGCTACAGTATGTCATAGGCCCTCTCGCTATGGTTCCGCACTTCCGGAGTCACAGTGCTCAGCGATCGACTCTCACGACTTCTGTCGCAGCCGCCGTGCAGCTCCTTCGGCCCGCGCGTTCACACTGCAATTTCCCCCCACTTTCCTTAAGAGCTGTGACCGCAAGAACAAGACCCCCACTTTCCCCTCACTTTGCCAGTCTCTTCCCTCCACACCTGCCCTGTTTCATTCACCCCTCGCTTCCGCTCTTGCGCAAGCGCTGTTTCTGCTGCTGAAACTGAAACGATGGAGGCGGTCGACCACCATGCGGAGGCCGCCGTGCTCTGGCTGGCGCAGGCCATCCTGGGGATCCTCTTTGCCGGCAAGATGGAGGCGTGGATCCGCCAAGCTGGGCTCACCGACGACATCGAGAGCCTCAAGTCCGAGCTTGAGAGGGTTGAAGCCGTGGTTCCCGATGGGAAGGGGAGGGCGATCCCGAACAGGCCGCTGGCCCGGTCGCTAGGCCGCCTCAAGGAGCTGCTCTACGACGCCGATGACATGGTCGACGAGCTCGACTACTACAGGCTCCAGCACCAGGTCCAGGGAGGTATGTGACGCATCTATGCCTCTATGGGCTCTGTTCTCTCTTCTCTGCACATCTGTGACTGTAGTAAGAGAAAGCTCCTTGTGCGACGCCATTAATTTTCCTGTTCTGATTCCAATCATGTCTTGGCTCAGGGACGATTGATTGGGCTAATCAGGCCCAAGGCACCGATGTAAATGGTGGAGCACAACTCGTCGATGGATCGAGGGACAACTCTGGCATACCCAACAGAAACGACCGTAAGAAGCGGTCAAAGGCATGGGAAGAATTCAGCATAATAGAAGAAGACGCGGATGGAAAGCCGGTGAAAGCAGAGTGTATTCACTGTCGCACACAGGTTAGGTGCGAGACTACCAAAGGGACATCGGTTTTGCACAATCACCTCAAGAGTGACAGCTGCAAGAGAAAACGTGCAGCAATGGAACAAACACCGATCCCTTCAAGGTACGGTACTACTTTGCTTGAAGGAGGATCCATATCCTTGAATTGACATTATGACATACATTTGCAGTAACAAATTTATTAGTTTGTAGGAAATAATATTGCACTTGCAATACTTTTATTCTGAAAAGGAGTACTGAAAGCAGCACCTTAAAATATGCATAGAAGTTTTTTTTACCTAAAAAAGATCAACATGAAATTTATGGTAATACACTTGCCCTAACGACCTCGTGATCCTTTTCCTCCTGTAGTGCCGCTCATGGTGTACCAAATGGTGCCACCATTGCAACTTATGATTCAGGTAGCAGAAAAAGAATGAGAACTGATGAGGTGTCAGCACACAACCCTGCAGCTAACACAGACCCCTGGAACAAAACTGAATTCTGCAATAGAATCCAACAAAAAACTAGTCAGTTAAAGGAGGCTATCAATGAGGTTCAGAAGCTATACGGATCGAGCTCTGTTGCAAGTTCAAATCTCTGTCAGAATACAACTGCAGATCCATGCCAAGAACGTCAAGTCTTGTTCACCATAAGATATTCGGGAGAGATGCTGAGAAGAACTCCATCATAAAACATTTGACAGGAGACAATTCTAACGGTGTAACTATTATTCCTATTGTAGGCATTGGAGGTATTGGGAAGACAGCTCTTGCTCAAATCATATACAATGATCCAGTTGTGAAAAGCCAGTTTGATCACAGGATGTGGATTTGGGTGTCCAGCAACTTTAATGAAGTGAGACTAACAACGGAGATGCTAGATTTTGTTTCTCAAGAAAAGCGAGGAGGAATAACCAGCTTGGCCAAACTTCAGGAGATCTTGGTTAGTCATGTTACATCCAAGAGGTGTCTACTTATTTTAGATGATGTCTGGGACGACATGGATGATCACGCATGGAACAGATTTTGGCTCCTATGCAACCTGACAATGAGAAGAGCAATGCCATACTTGTCACTACTAGAAAATTGTCTATTGCAAATGCGATAGGGACAATTGAACCGATTAAGTTAGGTGCTTTGCAAAATGATGATTTTTTGTTATTGTTTAAAGGATGTGCATTTGGTGATGGCAACCACGAAGGGCATCCAAGTCTAGCCATTATTGGTCGGCAAATAGTGGAGAAGTTGTGTGGCAACCCATTAGCAGCAGTGACTGTAGGGATGCTACTAAGGGTGTGTCTTACAGTGGACCACTGGAGTAACATTCTAAAGAATGAAAAATGGAAATCCTTGCACCTCAATAAAGGCATCATGTATGCTTTGAAGCTTAGCTATGATGAGCTGCCTTACTATTTACAACAATGTTTCTTGTGTTGTTCTATATTCCCTAAGAATTATCAGTTTCGTAGCAATGAGCTCATCTATTTTTGGATTGCACAAGGTTTTGTGAAATGTGGCCATTCCACAGAGATATTGGAAGAGATAGGGCGGGACTATATCACTGATTTGGTGAACTCATGCTTCTTTGAGCAAGTTGAAACTAAAAAGCCCACTCCAGGCAATCAAACATGCTATGTTATGCCTGCCCTTGTGCATGACTTTGCAAGACTGGTTTCAAGAACAGAGTGTGCTGCTCTAGATGGTTTGGACTGCAATGACATGCCGCCAACCGTTCGCCATTTGTCAATTCTAACTGATTCTGCATATCATGAAGGTCAACATGGACACATACCTTGGAGCATTAAGTTTGAAGAAAAACTACGAAGTCTAGCTGCATCAGTTAGAAAACTGAGGACATTGGTCTTGATTGGGAAATATGACTCTTCCTTTTTCCAATCCTTCCAAGATGCATTTAACAAGGCACATTATTTGCGTGCACTCCAGATTTCTGCAACATGTGCTGAATTTGATTCCTTCCTGCGCAATTTGGTAAACTCTACCCATCTTCGCTACCTGAAACTTGAGAAGAAAAAAAGCAGTGAAGCTTTGCCTATACCTCTTAGCAAGTTTTACCATCTTCAAGCATTAGATGTTGGGCATGCAACTACAATTAATGATATGAGTGACCTTGTCAGCATGCGGCATCTTGTTGTGAAGAAGGGACCACACTTTATGGATCAAAATTCTGTCTGTCTTGAGATGACACAACTTCAATCCATGAACGAGCTTGTACATCTTGGTGTGCATCACCTTCAAAATGTCAATGGAGCAGAGGCCTGTGGGGCAAAACTGAGAGACAAACAACACTTAGAAAATCTGCACTTGTCGTGGAAGGATGCTTTATCGCAGTATGGGTATGATAGCGATACAAGCTCTGAACATTATACAGACACAGCAAAAGAAGTGCTTGAAGGTCTTGAACCATATCACAACCTAAAGCATCTTCGAATCTCTGGTTATAGCGCTGCTACCTCACCAAATTGGTTTTCTAGAGTTGTCTTATATACCTGCTTGCAGACACTTCATCTAGAGGATTGTGGAGAATGGCAAGCACTTCCCTCACTAGAAGAAAGGCTTCCCTACCTTACAAAGCTGAAGTTAAGAAATATGTCAAAAGTAACACAACTATCAATTCCTCCATTGGAGGAGCTCGTGCTGATTGACATGATAGAGCTAGAGAGATGCTCCTGCAATTCGATAAGGGACTTGAACTCTAGCCTAAGGGTACTGATGATTGAGAGTTGTGATGTGTTGGAGGCCTTCCCCCTTTTTGAGAGCTGCGAGAAATTCAGAATCAAGCATAACTCATGGTTGCCTGGTCTTAGCGAGCTTACCATCCATGATTGCCCTGGGTTAATAGTATCAAATCCTTTGCCACCTTCAAGTAGAGCTTGTAAATTATCCATTTCAGGAGTTTTGACACTTCCAAATATGGAGGGATCATCCAGTGGTGAGTTGATAATTGGGGATGTAGATGGGCTGACAAAACTGCATTCAAAAGTTTTGTCATTCCATAATCTAAGGGCACTAACTCGCTTGCAAATCATAAATCTATCGTTTGTTTCACTCAAAGGTTTCAAGCAACTCATCAGCCTAAATAGTTTGAAAATAGACAACTGTAAGTTTTTTTCTTCAGATGTTCTACCCGAGCATACCCATGAAGAGATGGAAACTGCAAATTTCAATGCCTTCCCAACTCTCAAGCACCTCAGCATTACTTCACAGTGTAACCCAAATAAAATATCAGGGAAGTGGCTATCCGTGATGCTGCGACATGCGCCGGTCCTAGAGGAACTGCATTTAGATTGTTGTGGTGAGATATCAAGGCTTTTGATAGAAGGAAAAGAGAGTTGTTTATCGAATCACAGCTCAAGTCCACGGGCTTCATCACCAGGGACTCCAGATGACGCATCAACAAGCTCAAATCGGGAGGGACTCGTGCACATTCCATCAAATCTCGTCTCCTCTCTCAAAAAATTGTCTATCTGGAATTGCGATGCGCTAACATTTCTGGAGAAAAAGGCTAGCTTCTCTGCATTCACCTCCCTTGAGGAGCTACAAATTTGGCGATGCCCTAAGCTCATCTCGTCTTTTGAGCCTAAAGACGAAAACAGTGACCATGCAAACTGGGGATGCCATCTCCCGTATTCACCTAGCGAACCTGGTATTGTTCAACTTGAATCCCTACAAAGGCCACAGCTGTGCCCACGGACGAGTCTGAACTGCCTCAAAAAATTAGATATCTGCGGCAATGGGGATTTAGAATATCTAAAGCTGGATTCCTACACAACACTGGAAGAGTTGATAATTGCTCATTTTGGTTCGCTCACCAAACTAGAGGGCCTTCAATCCCTCAGAGGTCTCAGGTATTTGGAAGTATTCGGATGCCCTCGCTTACCTCCGTTTCTGGAGCATCTGTCAGGGCAGGTCAAGGAGCTGTTCCCACGACTTGAGAGGCTTTGTATAGATGACTCCTCTTTCCTCACCAGGTCATTCTGCATGCACCTCGCCTCCCTCCAACGCCTAGTACTTCACACGTGGTTCGACAAAAGACTAACATGCGAGCAAGATAGAGCACTTCATCTCGTCACGTCTCTGCAGGACCTCCAATTTTATTTTTGCTGTGAACTTGTAGATCTTCCGGTGTGTCTGCACAGCCTGTCCTCCGTCAAGAGGTTGGGGATTATTTATTGCCAACGTATATCAAGGCTGCCAGAAAAGGGCCTCCCACCTTCGCTGGAAGAACTAGAGATCAGGGATTGCAGCGAGGAGCTAACTAGCAAGTGCAGGATGCTAGCGACAAGCATGCTAAAGGTCAAAATTGATGGGCATTACGTGAATTGATTGCTGGGCAGCTTATTAAGAACAAGTGTCTACCAGCGCAGCAGGCAGCAGGTTTCACAGAGTGTCCTTCCAAGGTATGCTCCTACAATTCTATAGTTGGTTGGTCGTGATGTTATCTAATTCTCTTCAGGGATTACACTTATTATAGAGCTCGGTGTATGATAAAGTTAGCAATCTCTTTGCAGGCTTTTCAAGCTGCTGTACGACATTCCATTGCTACAGTTGGCTGTCTCCCGGAGTAGACTAGTAACAAGCTGTTCGGCAAAAGTGGTCACGACACGACAGGAGGCCACAGGCCAGAGTTATTCTCTTCGGTTGGGAGCATCAAAACTGAATTTGCTACTGCACAGCGTTTATGTCACCCTCTTGAGTCACCCGGCCCTCACGTGCTCATGCTGCTGATTGCGGTTCTCATACTTTGGTATACACTTGCTTGGGTTTTAGAAAGCAAACAGAAGATTTCATGAGCTACGATATGTCCAGCATGGTTCGTGCTGAAAAGAGATTGTTTCATTCTTGTTATTCGTAAGCAAATTCAGAAATGAAAAAGGTTCACTATTTTGCATGTGAAGATACAATTTGCTTTCTAGCTAACATGAGAGATGTTCTGCAACAAAAAAATAGTGCAACTTTCCAAATGTCAGGTCTCGTTTGAATGACAGAAATCAGGATAGGGTAGCGAGCAGTCAGCTAGTGCTTGCATAAATTTGAACATGTTCTGTCCCTGCTGAACAATTTTCCTGAATGTAATATGCTAACTTACAAGTCCACTTAGCCTTATTCGCTTATTGAAGGCAAATCTGTAAGATTGTGCTTGAATATTCAGATTGCACTGCTCCTGATTTTGAGACAATAATGTGGACATGCCTTACTACTGTGCCGTGCTGTATGCCTGTATGAGTTCAGAATGTAATGCGTAGTTGTGCTACTGTGATATGTATATGCGTCTGCAAATAGTTAGCAGACGTGGTGTGCAAGTTATTTTAGACTTAGGGACCTACTGTTTTACTTTTTTTGAATGAACTGTAAGAAGGTGCTAGGGAAATAAAATCTCAACAACTGTAAGGAGGTGTAAGCCAAGTTACCAGCAACGGCTATTCATTCCTTTTTGCGGCAACAAAACATGTCACTTCATCCTTTCTTTCTTAAGCATTGGAGTCATATCGATCAGTGAAACAATGAAACCACATGTTGCACAAATAATTTACCAGGCATTTCAACAGCAGACTGAAGATCCAACAAGAGCCCTATAATTACAAAATAATCACATACCAGTTCATGGTCTTGTGGTACCAATGATAAAATTCTTTAATAAAAAATGTTCAGTTAATTAATATTAATGTGCTTTAGGGTCTATGTAATTTTTACAAACAGGAAGTTTACAAAAGGGTATATTGTAGCCAGCGATTCTCATGAACATTCCTATTGCCTTGTTCATGTTCATGCATGATGAATGATGATCCTCCGAAAACGAACACAGGACGATGGCGGCGGCAAGTCAGAGAACCAAAACTGGGGATTTGATTTCGGAGTCCGCGGGCCCCTCCGGAGATCCTGCGAGCAGCCAAGCCCAAAAGGACATCGCCTTCTAGGTGGTGGACCGTGCGACGCGCCACGTAAGGCAGCGGTCGAGAACAAAACCTGCTGCTCCTATTGTCATTACCGCATCATCACTGTCAACCGATGTAGCCACACCATTCACTGGGGCAATGTCGTCCTCATACCTCAGCCACACCAGCACTGGTCACATCAGCAACACCACCATCAACAGCACAGGACCACAGGTTAGATTCACCTTCGCCTCAAGGCGCTTGCTCCACCACTGCTGCGTCGAACCAGACTCTCCGCTTGTCCCTCCGCAGCTTATCAGATCTGCCCGCATCGGAACCCGGGGACTCGTCGACGGCCCATGCCCTTCGGCTGGCTCTACTGCTGCTGCCACGGTCGATGGCTCGATGCGGAAGTGCTGCGCAAGCGGGACGCAGTCCCGCTACAGCCGGCGAGGAGGCCATTGCCGGCATTTTCTTATTTTGAGTTTGTGATGGGGCTTGCGATTTGGATGTGCGAAGGGAGGGCAATTTTCGCGGCGCCCGAGGGAACGTAACGTGGGACTGGAACGGGAACTTGGGTGAACGTGGACGTTGCCGAAACGTGGCCATCTTCCCGTTCCTAGGCTGCTAAGGTCTGGAACCGTGGCAGTGGAAGTGGGACTCTAGGCAATTTTCACAGAACGACTTTAATCATTTATGATGATCCTTCGGAAACGAACACTGGACACAACAGGGGTAGAGCGGAGAGGACGAAAGTCACAGAACCAAAAAAGGGATTTCGGAGTCGGCGGGCCCCTCCGGAGACCCTGCGAGCCAACCAACAGGACGTCGCTTTCCAGGTGGATGTCCGCGTTGCTTCTGCTGATCAGCTGATGGATGTGCGCGTGCTGTGTCCATGAAAAGTCGTTCGGATTCGGGTTATCTTCGGTTCCCATGAAAGAAAATGACGTGTATAGCAAGGGAAAAGTAAAAGCTCCCTATTCCTACCCTTGAAGCACAAAGCAAAAGGCAGTATACGAAACAGATGAACCACTGGCGGATGATCCAACAAATAAGGTTTTAGAAACGCGACGCAATACAGCAGTTTATTAAAGCACGAGAGCTCGTGAGTCACAGATAAACCAGATGATCGGGTTTAAGCTCGGGTCCAGTTCGGTTATTCAATTTCGGTTTAAAGCTTAAGCACACGTCAAAGTCGAAACAGGTCTGCTGTGTTGCTTATATATTCAGGCAAGGGCTTTTATATATGTTCTTATTACCCATGTCTTTTTCTTTGCGAGAATTAATACCCATGTTTTTACTCATGTTTTCAAGTTTAAGTCGTGATTTTGTCCTCATTTATTTAACTTTGTAATTTTATCTCTGTTTTTTAAAATAAAGATACAAGTTTACCCTTATTCTATTTAGAGGAGTTAACGGTGTCAGTTTAGCTAAAAATACTAGTGATCCTATTTGAATCTGTCCTAGTTTTTTTAGTTTTATATGATTTTGACATAAAATATTTTATCAGCATTATGAAATATTTTATAGAAAATTTTGTAAACATTTAAATTTAAGCAAATTTTAACAAGTTGTACGTACTTAAGCAACCATTCGTGGAAGCCAAGAGGGTCAAAGATAAGCAGCCTAATCGCTGGGGCTGGCTGGGCTAGCCAGCCCCCTCACATGGACACTGTTCACCTGAACCAGAACCAGCAACGATACGAACCACTAAGGTCAGAGGTTAGTATCTTCTTCTTCTTTCGGTTTTTCAGTTTATTTAATTTATTTATTCGGCCTTCATCTAACATGGTCTACAACAATGGATGAACGGTGGCTTCGAATTCAAAAAACAAAGATAGAATAACAAATTAAAAAAAACAAGGATACAATTATGATGGATCTTAAAAAGAGGGACAAGAACATCAATCGCGCTAAAATAAACGGCTCAATGCTTCGCCGCTTCTCCATTGGTGCTAATCAGTTGTCATTTAAGGTATGCTTATATCATCAAAATTATAAAAGCTGTGATGGTGCTAATGCATTTCCATATCTGATATCTTACCGATATCTGCAGGCTAGCTGACAGATTCAAATACTGGAACATCGTTCTTCAGTTCTCAAATGCTTCAAGGCGCATCTGAAGGCAACGTAAAACAACACACCTTTCTGTATTGTTATTTGTTTCCCCAAGCAGAACGGAATAAATAAGCTGGTATATAAGCCGGCTCGTTTCGGCTGATTCAATAGTGTTCTGTGAGGGAGAATAAGGCCCTGTTTAGTTTTCAAAAATTTTCAAACTAAAATGTCACATCAAATCTTGCGGCATATGCATGGAGCATTAAATGTAGACGAAAAAAAATTAATTGCACAGTTTGGTTGAAAATCGCGAGACGAATCTTTTAAGCCTAATTAGTTCATGAAAAGCCTTAAGTGCTACAGTACCCACATGTGCTAATGACCGATTAATTAGTATCGTTAGATTCGTCTCGCAGTTTCCTGATGGGTTCTGTAATTTGTTTTTTTATTAGTATCCAAAAACATCTCCCGACATCCTTCCGACACATCAGATATGACACCCAAAAATTTTAAACTCATCAACTAAACACCCCCTAAGCTGAAATAGGCTGACTTGATTGAAAAATAGTTCAAGCAAACAGGCCCTAAAACTTCTTCCCTTCCCCGATGAAAGCACACGGTCTTTTGAAGGATGACAACAGCAGAGTGTCGCTCTCAGAAATGCGTGCGCATCCACCAGACCACCACAGGGCTGCAAAGTGGAAACCGAAATCTCTGGCCTCCGGTTTCGGTTCGACAAAATTTCATAAATGTGCAAGCAACAAAACAAGCTCTCAAGAGTAAGTCTATATATGCTTTTGACTGACTAGTTGCATATGCGACCATCTTTCTAGAGACAAGAACATGAAGTATGGTTTGAATTAATTTGCACTTGTTTCTATTTTCCAAATTCGTCTAAACTTTTAGACTTTTCCTAGAAAAAACCGGGAAGTTTTAGTGAAATTTTGCTCAATTTTTATTAAATTTTATCCAAAACGAAAATCACTCCCAAACCTTTGAACGAGAAGCAGACATGCAAGCTTTACCAGTGGGGTCTTATATAACATTAACAACGAAAGCGTGTCCAAACACGATTTCGGTTCGGATTCGGGTTCGGGTTGTATCCACGTCCATACGTCGTTGTCAGGTGTGTCCTAATCATCTCCATCGACTCGTATGCACCGAAAACCGTTGGATGCTACGAAAACCCAGGATGCCACGATTCGGTTTATTTATTTTTCGGTTTGGTTTGTGATTCGCGTCGCGACAGAGTCGGAATGCACTAGGCAAAGTTTTGGCACCCTGCCTTCTCCTCCTGCTCCCTAGCAGCCTCCTCCTCCTCCACCTCTTTCTCTATAAATACCTTGACGACAAAGTTGTCTTCCTCCATCCATTCCAAGCTCAAAGCAAACTTATTCTCAAATCTCAACAGCACTGAGCAGTGCACAGTGCACACATGGACGTCCTCAGCAAGATGACGCGCGCCATTTCCGACGCCCTGAAGGACCCTGAGAAGCTGCCCGGGGCACTGATTCTGTGCGGCGTCCTTGAAGCCGCGGCGGCGCTCTCCCTCGTCTTCTTCAGGGAGCCAGGGGCAGCGTTCCTCCACCATGGTGAGAAGGCTCTCAGCTATGTGTACTATGCTGCTCTGATCGCCATTGTGGTGTTTGGGCTCGCAGAGGCGGCCGTAGGCTTCTGGGTGTCAGGAGACCCAGCTGGCCGGCGAGTCGTCGGTAAGGTCGTCATGGGGTTTTCCATCCTGCCACTGATAATCGTTGCCGGTCTCGGAGGTTTTTCTTCCGCCGCGCCGAAGTAGCAGCTGCTTACACAACACGAGATACCACAGTTGTGCTCTGCCAATGGATTGCTATATTTAGCTTATGTCCAGTGTTTATGTCTCTTCCGTGTATTTCCATCATGAGTTCGGGTGTTGTCAGTTCGCTCTATGCATATGTTACCTTTTTCTATATCTGGATCATGTCATATGCCTCTTGGGCAAATTAATGTCGTTTTTTGCAAATTGTTTCTCACAAAGAAAAGATAACATATCCCATGTGCATGACCATTTTGATGAGAAGGTCATGTAATTTATCATTGTCACGACCAGGGCGGAAGGAGGGGGCAAAAGCCCCCCTATATCTAATGTGTGTTTGGTTAGTCTTCTAAAAAATATTCTAGTGCCATAAAGCATAACACCAACCAAGCGGGAAGAACCCGAAGCTGTTGTTTTCGCGTGGTACAATTTTCATAATATTTTAGACTTTGCCTTTGGCTCTTGGCTTTATTTTAAAAAATGGGTGGAAATAAAGAGACGTTATATAGTTGTTTTAACTAAAATGCTTATAGTTTTTTCACAGCACATAATTCATAAGAGTTTTTTTTTTCACAGCACATAACTCACAATAGCTTTTTTCACAACTCACAGCAACTTGATGCCCTGATAGATAATTTGTGGCTCGGCCCGGTCAGGTTGCTGTGTTGACTATTGATATGTAGTCCTGAAAGAGTATGGAACTGAAGTACATCCACTGAATATTTTGTCGCCTCCCGTTGGGTTAAATCAGTAACAATTTGGGTGACGTTTCTCATTATATTATTTTGGCTACAAACTGGTATACTGCCATTGTCACAAAATCGAGATGGACCACGCATTCACGTCGCTTCTGGATTTGTTTATCATTTAGTGACACGTGGGATGTAGGAGTACTTGCTTGGTTAACCGATCCTTAGTTCGGTTTGGGTCTCGGATTAAGCATGCCTTAATCAGTTGTCTGTGATACGGATTAAGACGTGTCCCTTTGACTCCTGAGTTTGTTGATGGAAGAAGGCTGCAGAACCGTGATGTCAGCTCTCGGTTAAATTTATTTTTGCTTTATTGGCTTGTTGAACACAAATCTGTAGATCGTATTGCATTGTTCCTGATCGTATAGCTCCTGAGTTACATATATTTTGACGTGCGTGGTATATGAGCTCAGAATTGTAACTGGTAGTTAGCACACTCAGTGATCAAGTTACTTCAGACTTGAGGGCCCCACAATTTGAGAACTGGATGAAAGCTCCGGGGAAACAAAATTGTCAACAGTGTAAGGAAGTGTAAGACAGGCTACCTGATTCGACACAAGGAATCGTTAAAAAAGGACCACCAACATCTCTTCATTCCTATTCGCAGCAACAAAACATGGCACTTCATCCTTCCTTTCTTCAACGTTGGCGCCCTATCTATCAGTGAAACAATGAAAATCACATGTTGCACAATAATTTACCCGAAATTCCAACAGCACACCTGCACCTTCGCTGGCATTCCAATGAAAATCGCAATGAACAGTGTTTTCCTCTCCCATGACCCTGTAGAAAAGCCCAGTAACTTAAAACTCAAACAAGAACCCCTAAAATTCCAAATTACCAAATAAACACACATCAACCCGTGCTCTTGTGGTGTTACACAATAAAGAAGCACAGGCTTATCAGAGGATGATAATTTCCATATATCAAGCAACACCACCAGAACAAACTCAACACAGATTTGCATGTTCACTGAAATTTATCTTGCGTAGGCCTATCCGAAATGCTGAAATAGCTCTTACATCAAAAGTCATCACCGAACAAAAGATACTGCATTGTTACTTATAAAACCATACTTTAATGTCATGTGCAAAGCATCAATTACATAAGAGATCTGCACCAGAACAACTGTACTACAAAAGAACACACACACACTAGCGCTGGCCCCCTTCATACCAAGGTCGATCAACTACTTTTAACACCCCAGTACCTTCCACCTCCAGCTTACATACACATGGTGCTATCAGACACCCACAAAGCCAGTTTGTTATCTACTACTAACTGTGTAATAGAAGCCTACGCAGGCACCCACGTCTCAGAAACAGCTACATACTTACAATTACCTCTAGCTCTACACAAAATCATCCAAGAACACGAACTCAGATCATCCAAATTTTCAAATCCTATTGTTAACAACCTCCCTTAAGCCAAAGAATGAGCATTGCCAGCTCCTGAGGCACTGTCCCCTGAGCTCCTCGACTCAGAACCTGTAAAAGGCAACAGTAAATGTAAAAAGTCTGATCCCTGAAGAATTTTTGGAAGTGTTGAAGGAATACACAATGCCAGCTTGATCATACCACTGGACGATGAAGAGCCACTGCCAGAACCACCAGAGCCAGTCGCACCTTCAGCGTCCTTCTCGATCTCCATGGATTGGTAAGTGGCCGTTGGCATCTCATCCCCAATATCAACATACTCATCCACCTGCTCGGCCATTGCAGTGCTCTTCACAGGTTTCTCACTCTCCTGTAAAAATAGTAAATAAACAAACTATCATTAGAGCCCAATTCACACATCCACTAGCTGCAACCAAAAACAAACATGTTGCTCCTATTGTCATTACCGCGTCATCATTGTCAACCAATGCAGGCACATCGCCCACAGGTGCAATGTCATCCTCAGCCACAGCAGCACTGGTTACATCAGCAGCACCACCATTCATCATCGCAGCACGCTGAGACTTCTTGAGCGCCTTGTTGAAGTTAGTTACGAAACGATCAAGCTCCCACTGTGTCTCAACATCCATCTCATCAATATCAAGCTCGATCTCATCCCCAAGCATCTCCGGATTGTTGTTCCTCTTCCGCACAATCTGAAGCACATTATGCATCTTCTCTTCAGGCAGACTCTCCAGCCCAATCCTGAGCATGTTCTTCTCGTCCAGGCTCATCTCCCTCTTGTTAGGCTCCCTCGCCTTGGGCTTCCGCATCCTCGCATTCCCTGCTCTCGGCTTAGCCTTCCCTCAACAGGCTCAGCTGCCGGTGGAGGTGTCAATTCAGCCGCCACTGGCCTTGGCGCCTCAAGGCGTCTGTACTCTTCCTCGAAATTAGCGAGCGCCTCCTTGTACATCCTCTCGAAGTAGGCGAGGAGGGCGCCGGCGAACGTGTGGACCTCGTGGCCGACGGGGTTGTACCGCAGCGCGTTGGTGAAGGTGAGGCGGACGTCGGCCGCGAAGTCGTCGTGCGAGGCGTACCTCCCGGCGGCGAGGCCCTCCTTGACGGTGCCGAGATCCATGGGGCGCTTGATGACGGCGTGGTAGTCGTGGAGGCCGAGGCGCTCCACCTCGACGGGCGCGTTGAACCACACGCTCCGCTTGTCCTTGCGCAGCCTTGTGAGGATCTGGCCGCACCGCTTCCGCATCTCGCCGCGGAGCTGCTGCTTCGCGGGCGGCGCGGGGAGCAGGCCCTGCTGCTGCCAGGTGTCGATGCGGGAGAGGAGGGCGCGGACCTGGCCCAGCTCCCCCGCGAGGCGGTCCCGGAGCGCGCGGGCCTCGCGGTGGCCCAGGGAGGACGGGCGGAACGTCACGTAGCCGGCCGCCGGCGAGGAGGACGCCGCCGCCCGCGGCTTGGACTTGGACTTGGACCCGTTGGCGCGCGGGTGGGGCTGGCTGGGGCTAGGGTTGGGCGGGATGGGCCCGAGCGGGGCGCGCGTCTCCCCCCAGCTGTGGTGGTGCGCCCCGCCCTGTCCGGCCAGCAGAGCGGAGGCCATCGCCGGCGCGCCGGCGAGGTCCCGCGAGCTCGATTGGTGCGCTGGCAATTCGGATCCGGGAGAGAGGGAGGAGAGCACTGGAGTGGGGGAGAGCGGAGCGGGTGGAGTGGAGACGACGGGATATTTTTTTTTTCGGAGTGGGGGCGGGCGGATCTGTCCGGCGCCGGGAAAGGAGGGATCCGCGCCGTTGGTTTGGTGAGTGGACGGATGAGATGGCTCGAGACTTTGTGTGCGAGCGTCGTTGCGTGGCCATGGACGCTTGGGTTTGACTGGTCGTTGGGGCACAGGTAACTGTCATGTGGGGTCCTGGTGTGTGATGGGGCCGTCGTCTCAGTGAGCAGGTAAGTACAGCGGTTGAGGCAGACGGGCAGTAGAGCTTGTGGATTTGGGAGCCGAGTTGTTTTTTTTTTTTAAATGAGAGCCGAGTTTTTTTTTACAACATGGGAGCCGAGTTTTGTTTTCGCGGGAACGTGAGCTTGCAAGAAGACAGTACAAAAAAACAGTAGCCAAGTAAAGAGACCTAGTAGGCTTTTGGCGTCCATGGACTCACCTATTTTTTTTTCGAGATCGTGCAACGGCACGTATACATGGACTCACCTATTGATACGCCGTCGCCGGTACACGATCCATGTGAGCGCTCTATCTGCGCCGGCATCAACCATCTTTGTTGCTTTCGAATCTGAGCAAAGGCATGGGTAGTTCGGTACTTCGGTATCGGTACCGAAAGAAAGCAAAATCACATGTGGGGAGGGAGCCACAGGGCACAGGCCACAGCCACCATCATGTGGCCCTGCTCTTCAAAAAAGCACGCGTCGGTCTAGCCCAGGCCGAGAACCCAACATCGATCGTGAAATGCGCCGCAACGATCCATGTACAGAAAGGACGGCACCATCGTTACCAAAGAAAAGAAATACCTAGTTCACAATAAACTTCTTATATTAGCGCTGCTATTTGTCATCACGAACGGGAGTTACTGGCGCCCAGACATCCGGCGCAGCTTCAAATATCGAACACTCAGCTCACACAGCCCACGCACGGTCCAGTCGCGATCGTGGGTGACATCACTGCACCGGCCTCCCCCTCCCTATTCGTGCAACACCGCACGAGTCCCGACCTGCGGGCGCCAGTCACAACCCAACCACTAGCGCGAGGGCCTCTGGATGTCACACTTCTGGGTCCAGTCACCTGTCCCGCCTCTGGATGTGTGCTGCGGATGCATCTACTAGCCTTAGGTCATCACACGGTCATCGACAGCAGGGCCTCAGCAGCTACAGGCGGCTGCGGTAGGTGGGCCATATTGCAACATGTGCAACACCAGATCTACTTTTACAATATACGTCCGGAACAGCTGAAAACACTTGTAACGTACATCTGAAACACTTGAAAACACGCGTGTAGCCATTGCAAAACATATGCAACATCCAGATGAAACACTTGCAATATATGTATGAAAACACCTGAAACGCGTGAAACATACTCTTGCAACATGCATGTATATGCAACATCCAGATCTACTTTTGCAACATCCAAATAAAACACTTGAAACATACGTGTGAAACACATAAAACATTTGAGACATACACTTGAAACATACATATATATAGCCATTACACCATGTGGAACGTCCTGGTCTACTTTTGCAAATATAAAACACTTGCAACATACCTCTGAAACACCTGAAACACTTGAAACATACGGCTGCAACATCCTCTTTCAGCGCAAAACATCTCTTTAATTAGCTGCTTCAACGAATGGAGGCTCGTCGGCGCGTGGAGGTCACTAGTGTGCTCGCTAGCGTCGCGGGGCTCGCCAACAACACGGAGCTAGGCAGCGTCGCACAAAGGGCGGGTTGGGGGTGGCACGGGCGGCGGTGGCGTATAGGGTAGGTGGGCGGCGCGTGGAGGTCGCCGGTGGCGTAGAGGGAGGGTGGGGAGTCACGATGGACGAGGCAGAGTGGGCGGTCACAAGGTGCAGACTTGTCCGTCCATACGATGCCCTCCATGGGAGGGAACGGAGGTTGGTGGGGATCAGCTAGGAGCAAAGCATGGTAGCGAGGAAGACATGTGGGTGGATTTAGGGGCGCAGGGAGCAAGCATGGAAAGGAGGATATGCAAGCGTCTGATGAGCAGGGAGTGGGGATTTTTTAATTAACTCGGGAGGGGGAGTTAGCGGTGGATGAGGCGTCCGACGGAAAGATAACCGTCTGGACGCCCTAATCCTAGCGTTTTCGATCAAGAATTGCATGCACAATCTGATTTCACAGTACTTCCTCGCTTCTGAGGAATGAAACAATCTCAAAATTATAATATTTCATATGTATAATAAATATCTCTAAATTAATCATAAAATATTTTCCTAACAAATCTATTTAAATACAAATACTAACACTTAGTCAAACTCAAAATTGTTTGGCCAGACTTTTTTTGTTTCTTCGGTAGACATAGTACTACCGATAGCTCAATCAAAGATTCCAAACAAGACCTGAGGTATCAGGACGCCACCTATGGCAGCACAAAACCATCTCCCTATCTCGGCTCCCACTCCTAGTGGCACTTTGAAAGCTCTAGTTTGGTTTTGGTTAATTGATGAAACCCTAAGTGCTAACCTAATTTATCAAAGTGATTATGAGATAGGTAGCACTACTCCAAGTGATGAAGCAATGGTGAAGATCATGATGATGGTGATGGCATGGTGACGATCAAATGCTTGAACTTGGAAAATAACAAAGAGAAAAACAAAAGGCTCAAGGCAAAGGTACAAATAGTAGGAGTCATTTTGTTTTAGTGATCGAGACACTTAACGAGTGTGATCACATTTAGGATCGATAGCCGTACTATTAAGAGGGGTGAAACTCGTATTGGAATGCGGTTATCAAAGTACCACTAGATGCTCTAACTCATTGCATATGCATTTAGGATCTAGTGGAGTGCTAACACCCTTGAAAATGTTTGTGAAAATAAGCTAACACATGTGCACAAGGTGATATACTTGGTGGTTAGCACATTTGAGCAAGGGTCGGAAACTTCACCGGTGCCCTAGACAGAAAAGATGAAGGTCACTGTATGTGACCGGACGCTAGTCTCAGTTGGACCGGTGCGTCCGGTCAGTAGCAGCAGTGAGCGCGTGGTCTCGGTCTTCGACCGGACGCTGGCGCTAAAAATGACCGGACGCTGGTAGGGTGCGTCCGGTCAGTGCTGACGTACGCTGACGTGAGGCGCACAGAGGAAACGTTGAGTGACCGGACGCAGGGTGTGTCCAGTCGGGCATGACCGGACGTCCGGTCATGAAATGTCGCGTTTGGAACCTTACTGGAAACGACCGGACGCTGAGATCCAGCGTCCGGTCACTTTCTAACTGACGCGTCCGGTCATCACTTGACCGTTGAAATCGGGCGATCGGCGTTTGAAGCTGATGACACGTGGCGCACATCGCACGACCGGACGCTGAGGTCCAGCGTCCGGTCAATATGACCGGAGCGTTCGGTCGGCCCGTGTTCAGTGCAGTGAAGAGCCCAACGGCTCTATTTCGTGGGAGCTTCTATTTAAGCCCCATGGCCGGCTCAAGCTCACTTTCTCGGCCATTTGCATTGACATAGCAACCTTGTGAGCTTAGCCAAAGCCCTCCCACTCATCTCTATCATTGATTCATCATCATTGTGAGATTGGGAGAGAATCCAAGTGCATTGCTTGAGTGATTGCATCTAGAGGCACTTGGTATTTGTGTTTTGCTGCAGATTTCGCTTGTTGCTCTTGGTGGTTGCCACCACCTAGATGGCTTGGTGCAGCGGTGGAGGATTGGCACGAGTTGGTGATTGTTCATGGCCATCTCCGGTGATTGTGAGGGGATTTGTACCTTCCCCGACGGAGCGTCGAAAGGTAACTCTAGTGAATTGCTCGTGTCATTGAGTTACCTCACTTATGGGTAGGTTCTTACGGTGTCCAATCGTGTGGATGAGGTTTGTGAAACACCTCTTAGCCGTCGAACCACCAAGTGTTGGTCGACACAACGGGGACATAGCGTGTTGGCAATCACGTGAACCTCAGGAGAAAATCGGTTGTCTCTTGCCATTTGGTATTCTCCTGGTGATTGGTTCTATATTGATCTTGTGATTGGTTTAATCCTCTACACGGCAGTATAACGATCCTACTCACTCATTTATATTCTTGCAAACTAGTTATGGCAAGCTCTTTAGTGTAATTAGAATTGAGAGCTTGCTTTGCTATTTAAGTTCATTTAGTGGAGCTCTTTAGAGTAGCAAGTTTGAGAGCTCTTAGTGAGAAGTATCATAGCTAGTTGTGTGTTTAGCTATCATTATAACTAGAATTGTTGGATAGGTGGCTTGCAACCCTTGTAGAGCTAGAGCAAGTTTGCATTTAGCTATTTGTCATACTAATCAAATTTCTCTAGTCGATTTGTAGACTTTTAAATAGGCTATTCACCCCCCTCTAGCCATATTAGGACCTTTCACACTTCCACCTTATCCAAGTTCCCCTCCATTGCCCCTAGCTTGGCCAATATCCTCTGCAGTTGGTGGTGTTTGTGTGCCAATCTCATGCGCTTGTGTAGGGCGACGTGCCTCTGTTTGATGTAGTAGCCCTTGACAGCGCTGGCGCCACGGCCAGTGGAAGCAAACCTCCGGCCGTCGTAACCCTCCACTGCTGCGTGAGTGCTCCGCGCAACCACCCGCACCAGGCACTGCATGGCTGACCTCTCTCGGATCAGATCTAAGCGAAATCGGTTGGATAGATAGATGTTTGTGATCGTTCTGTGCAGTCAGGCTGGTTAGTGAGTTCTAGTATATACTTTATCATTCTTGGATGGGTGAACCAGCGGTCGCTACATCCTGAGAACCCCGACAACTGATGAATGTATGTCTCTGAGCTTTCCATTTTATGGATGAGAACAAAGTAGTGCAAGTCATAAGACCATCAGCAACAACCTTGAAGGTTAATCTTGAAGGCTAACAAATGTGTTATGTTGCCAAGTCAACTAGGTTAAGA